TACAAGACCAAACCAGAACATGTTTCAAATCTACCTAGGTCAATTTGAGATATGGTCAAGTTTGAGACATTTGATTCACCAAACCTGACCATGTTCCAAATATACCTAGGTCAATTTGGAATATGGTCAAGTTTGAGACATTTGATTCTTCAAACCTGACTATGTTCCAAACCTGACTGTGTTCCAAATCTACCTAGGTAAATTTGGGATATGGTTAAGTTTGGGACATTTGATTCTCCAAACCTGACCATATTCTAAATCTACCTAAGTCAATTTGAGATATAATTAAGTTTGGGACATTCGATTCTTCAAATCTGATCATGTTCCAAATTTACCTAGGTCAATTTGGAATACGGTTGTGTTTGATATAATATGTTTCAAACTTGACTATAAACCAAACTAACTGGGTTAGTTTGGAATACAGTCAAATTTGGGATATCAGATACCCAAACTTGACTATATCTAAAATCTGATTTGGGATATTCCAAGTTGAATTTGAAATATGATCAAATTTGGAACATGATCGTCCCAAATTAGAAATTGCAGTTTGAGAAGTCCGAAATAGGAATTCCAATTTGGGATATCTCAAGTTTGATTTGGGATATGGCAACATTTGGGCTACAACAGGAACTATCAATGTCTTTTTTGTCATATAAAATATTGTTATTTCAATTTTCCATACATAAATAATTGTATAGAAATTTTTAATAGAAAAATCGTACAAAAAAAAAATTTGAAATTTTTGGATAAATTAATTTAATTAATTTTTACAAAAATTGCAAATAATAACAACCTAAACTTTAAAATCTTTCTTCGTTAAAAGTAAACTTGTAGAGTAAATAAAAATACTATCTATAATATTAAAATTAATGATTAGTATAGTTGATTTTCCTAATTCAGATGTTGTAGGAAAAATGTGTTAAAACTTTAAGTGTACAGGTATAAGGTTATTTCATGTTTTGGCACTTTGCATAATCTGAAAATTTTAGTGTTTTTTTTTTGGCATAAAAGCTAAAAAAAGCTGTATGGATTTTTTTCATAGAGCTAACTAAATTCTAAAGATGATAACTAACCCTGGTTTAAAATAGGACATTTAACGAAATCATGAAAAATTAGTCCATTTATAACCATAAGGCATTATATAGATTGGAATCAATCAATGAATTTATCTATCAATATTTTATTAAAGGGTTCAGGCACACTATGTGAACTTTGCAATAATAAGGGAGAAATAACTAAGAATGTAAATTTAATTTTATATGTAATATGAATTTCAGGTGAAATCATTCAAATTAAGCGTTAATTTTTCTAACTTTTATATAAATGTGAAAAAGCTTAATGGATAAAATTATAGTTTGTAAATAATAATTAATTTTGAATGAATACCAATACAGAGCGGTGTAAAAGAAAAAAGTCCTATGTCTTTACATTATTTTTTATATTATTTTATATTTTTGATTTCTTACTAATATAATACAATTTCTACTTTTAATATAACAATATCAATAGTCTCTCTTTAAATATAAGATTTATTTTGAATCAACTATAGATTGCAAGTGGTAACTAAAATAAAATAAAATAAAATACATTCCATAGAAATATTTCAATATGTTTGTAAAAATAAATCAGTCGATATCATGTAATTTCGTGATTTTATAAGCGGTAAGATAAATCGATATATGATAATTGAATATAAAAAACAACATACAGTGAACTCTTGATATAACGAATTCTAGGATCTAGATATCAACTTTGTTATAAGCTTATAATGAATTTTTTAAAGAATTTAATTGGCTAGTTCACTATAGTAAAGGTAATTTTAATATATTTGATTTAAAAATTCGCTATATCAAGGGTTCGCTATATCAAGTTTTGACTGTACTTAAAAGTTGATTGTAAAGATCGCATCTCAAAATAGGAATGCAAGCAAATATTCTTCTTAAATATTGGTCTTCTTCTGCTCAAATATATATAATCATCTGGTGAAACATCTTCTGATTGTCTTTAAATCTTTGATGGGTTTTGAAAATGTGATTTTTACGATATGATTATTTGTTATGTGAAATAATAGGTAGTGTAGTTTCGTAATGTTACTATAAAACTATTTATTTTAAGTAGTAATATTTTCAAAATTACTATGAAGGAATAAACCTATATGATTCATGCTTTCTATCAGTAAGAATAGTTGCAAATACAAACATTTTCATTTGATTAACTGACCTTAAAAGATTGCGTATAGACAAATTCTGTATATAGATTTTGTCCCAAAAAATGTAATTTCCAAATATTATCAGGACATTTATTTCCATAAGGTTAAATCCTAGCTTTTGTTTAAACATTCAATTAATTGAATATGAGAACCATTTAAGATTTAAAAAAATTATTGGCTATTGCGTCAGTATTTACAAAATAAAAGGCAAAACTTACAGAACATAGCTAGTGTTTGCAACTAAGTTTGTTGAAAAAAATGATGTGACTATAACAATTTTTTTATGAATAAAACTATTTGTTGAACTTTAAAATTAAACTTTCTTAATATGTGGGGATAAATTCACAATGTTATATAAATTGCAAAATAACAAGTCTTTTCATATTAGGCAAGGCCAAAAAGTTGATTTTCAGTATACACAACTCATAAATTCTATGAATAATACAAAATATTTAGCCATATATGAAATTGATTGAATTATTAATTCAAACATAATGACTTTATTTCGATCCAAATTAAATGAGAATAAATGACTATTTTCATAATTGTTAATGAACTATTTTATCACATGCTTATGCAGCCAAAGGTATTCGCCAAATTTCTTGAGATGATAAAATAAAATACTAGAAAAAGGAATTCACTCTAAAAGAAGCGTTAGTTAAATAATGATGATGACATAATAATATAAACAATCAAATTTATTTATGTAATACGAATTTCAATTAGGTGGCATATAGAAATTGCTGTAACTATAGAAATATGATAAGGTAAAATGATATTTAATACTATTAATAAAAGAATAAAAGCAAGTAACAGAATGACATTGTATTTAAAAAGTTAAGCAGTATATAAAATAAATAACATAATTACAAATGATGCAAATTATATAAATTTGTATTCATTACTTTCTATAATACATTCATTCGCAAATTGCGTTTTATTGATCATACTTGTAAATTCTAAAAGATCAAAATAATTTGTTTTAGGCATAAAAATAAGGTAATAATTTTTATCAAATTTCTGAACATTATTTTAAAAATTATATTCGGTAATGTTTATATATAACAAATTTATTAAACGGGATTAATAAAATGCAATTAAATATAATTTAAAGCCCTATTTCTTTTTTGTAACAAATTTCAGATTCTTATTCAACATTTATTGCAGATTCATTTATAAAAAACAAAAAAAAAATAAAAACATTTTTGAAACATATTTTATATTTTAATAAATAATAATTAACTTTATTAATTTTAATGTTATCTTATTTATAAATTAAAATACTTGCTTAAATTTGTTTAAAATAAGAAACTAAAATTAAAAATAAATTAATAAATTAAATAAAAAAAAACTAAAAATTTTCATAATTTGATACTAAAATTGAATGAATAAATTTAAATTAAATAATCCTGGTATTTTTGTTATCAAAGTTTAAATAGAAAACATACTAGATAAATTCTCAAAGGTATCTAACTAAATAGAATTACCAATTACTGAAACTGGATCCTTTGTATTTTTTTATAAATTTGAAAAAAATAAGCAAAATAATATAAACTATAAAAACATTAACATAAAGATTCATTGTTGGCTATTTCATCATCGTTAATATTTTTTCCAAAGCCCATCTTAAAAAATCTTTTTAATACTTCTTTAATAATTGGTCTTTGCTCAGGCTTCTGTTTCCAGCATTTTTTATATAGTTTTTCATAATCCTCAGGTGTATCTGCTATAGAAATTTCACGAGTTTTATAGCAAGTAATTGCAATAATAAGATCCTGATTACTATTAAATTTATCTTTAAAAGGAGATTGTCCACTAGAAATTTCCCACATTAATATACCAAAACTATAAATATTTGAATCTTTTATATATTCAAAGATTTGATTGGCAAGTATTTGTGGTTCCATATAAGCAGCTTTACCAAAAAGTCCAATATGCATTGTAGAATTATTTTCAACTTTTGAAATACCAAAGTCTGTAATTTTAGCATTATTTTCATGAATAACGATATTTTTAGAATGCTAAATTAAAATATATTATTAATAAATAAAATATAACAAATAAATAATAATAAATATTTATTTACAAAATCTCTGTGTAAAACATCTTCATTATGCAAATAATTTAATCCATCCGCAATTTGATAAGCCAATTGTTTTTTATTATTCCAATTTAATTTTTCAAAATTATTTTCTAGATATGTTTGAAGATTAACATTATTTGTATATTCCATTATTAAATAAAGTTCATTTGACTTTGGATCTATAAAATAAAATAAATAATAAATAAAAACTCTTAAAAAAATTAAGCTTATCTAATTACCTTGACTTATACCTAAAAAACGTATAATCCAGTCACTATGATTAAAATGTAAATGTATTTTTAATTCATAAATAAATGCGCTTAATTTATCATTATCATATTTAAATACACTTATATTAGTTAATTTTTTACAGATTATATAATCATTTGTTTTTGACCAAGTTGCTTTTATTATACTTCTAAAATTGCCTTTATCAAATAATTTTAAATCATTTAAATAATTGAAAGGTATGACTTTAATTTGATTATTTAACTTAATATTAATCAATTCAAGCATATTGCAATTAACTTTATTTAATTAAATATAAATAAATTAATATAAATTATAGTTTATAAAAAAATTAATTATTAATACTTTAATATACATTTATTCATAATCTTCATCATTGAAAATTCTTTCAATATTTCTGTAATGGTAGGTCTTTGCTTAAGTTCTTGATCCCAATATTTTTTATAGAGTTGTTTATAATCCTTTGGAGTATCTATTATAGTAATTTCACAAGCTTTATTATTAACAATAGCAGCATAAATAGTAGTATCATTTAAATTTTTAAATGGAGAATATCCACTAGAAATTTCCCACATGAAGATTTCATAACTATAAATATCTGAAGGTTTAATGTATTAAAAGTTATGATTTATAAGTATTTGGGGATCTATATAAGCAGTTTTACCACAAGGTCCAATATGTCTAGTAGAATTATTTCCAATTTTTGAAATACAAAATCTGTAATCTTTGCATTATTATTATGAATAAGTATATTTTTAGAATGCTAAATAAAAATTATAAAATTTTAAAATAAATTTCTAAAAGCATTATTAAATAAATAAAGATAATATTTACAAGATTTCTATGTAAAACATCTTCATTATGACAGTAATTTAATCCATTTGCAATTTGAAATGCCAACTTGTTTTTATCATTTCAAGTTAAATTATTAAATTTTTTTTTAAGATAATTTTGTAAATCATCACCATTAGCATATTGCATTATAAGAAGATACTCATTTGATATTAAATCTATAAATAATAAATTAATAAATAAGTATTTTTTTAAAATATAATATTTTATATATTAATTAGTAATTAAAAATTACCTAGACTAATACCTAAACAATATATAATATGATTACTGTAATTAAGATATAAATGAATTTTTAATTCATAAATAAAAGCATCTTGATTAATAGTATTTGTATTTATTAAACTTTTAAATACAATAAAATTACCAGTTTTTAACCAAGTTGCTTTTGTAATACTACCAAAACCCTTCTTATTAAGTTGTTCTAAATCAGTGAATTCATTAAAAGATATAAATTTAACTTGATTTTTTAAGGATTTATTAATAAATTGAACTACAGCAAAATTTTCATTAATATTTTGACTATTAGCTTCATATTTTCCAAAACTTCTTTCAGATTTATTTTCTTTTTTTACTAATCTTTGATGCCATTCATATGCTTTTTCTAAATCTTTATTAATTCCTATTCCATTTATATAACATTTGATTATATTATATTGAGCTTCTTTATTTTTATTTATAGCTGATTTTTGATACCAATGAAATGCTTTTTTAAGATCTTCTTTATTTTCAATACTTTTCTCATAAAAATATCCTAATTTGTATTGTGCAATATCATTCTCATTTTCAGCTGATTTTTGATACCAATAAAATGCCTTTTTTAAGTTTTTTAATAAATTTTCCTTTTTCATAATAAAATCCTAAATTAAATTGAGCAAATTCATTTTCATTTTCTGCTGATTTTTTATACCATTTAAATGCTTCAATCATACACCTAAACCATATCGATAACAAATTGCTAAATTGCATTATGCAATATGATTTTCATTTTTTGCTGATTTTTGATACCAATAAAATGCTTTTTTTAAGTTTTTTTCAATTTCTATACCTTTTTCATAAAAATATCCTAAATCATTTTGTGCATTACTATAATTTTGTTCAGCTGACTTTTTATACCACTTAAATGCTTTATTAATATCTTTTTTAATACCTTTTCCATAATAATAATAATCACCTAAATTATATTGTGCAGTAGCATTATTTTGATTAGCTGATTTTAAATACCAATAAGATGCTTTTTCAAAATTTATTTCAATACCTTTACCATTTTCATAACAAGTTGCTAAATTATTTTGTGCATAACTATTATTTTGTTCAGCTGATATTTGATACCAATAAAATGCCATTTTTAAATCCTTTTCAATACCCCATCCATTTTCATAATAATTAGCTAAATTATATTGTGCATCACTATAATTTTGATCAGCTGATTTTTGATACCAATAAAATGCTATATTTAAATCCCTTTTAATTCCCTAACCATTTTCATAACAATATGCTAAATTATGTTGTGTAATAACATTATTTTGATAAGCTGATTTTTGATACCAATAAAATGCTTTTTCAAAATCTATTTAAATACCCTTACCATTTTCATAAAAATATCCTAAACTATTTTGTGAATAACTATTATTTTGATCAGCTAACTTTTTATACCAATATAATACTTTTTTTAAATAAGTTTCAAATCTCTCACCATTTTCATAACAAATTTCTAAATTATTTTGTGCATAACTATTATATTGATCAGCAGATTCTTGATACCAATAAAATGCCATTTTCAAATCCTTTTTAATACCCCATCCATTTTCATAATAATTAGCTAAATTATATTGTGCATTATTATAATTTTGATCAGCTGATTTTTGATACCAATAAAATGCCATATTTAAATCCCTTTTAATTCACTCACCATTTTCATAACAATATGCTAAATTATATTATGCAGTAGCATTATTTTGATCAGCTGATTTTTGATACCAATAAAACGCTTTTTCAAAATCTATTTCAATACACTTACCATTTTTATAACAAGTTACTAAATTATTTTGTGTCTCATTATTATTTTGATCAGCTGATTTTTTATACTAATATAATGCTTTTTTTAAATTCATTTTCAATTCCCTCACCATTTTCATAACAATATGCTAAAATATATTGTGCATTACTATTATTTTGATCAGCTGATTTGTGATGCCATTCAAATGCTTTATTAATATCTTTTTTAATACCTATTCCATAATAATAATATTTACCTAAATTATATTGTGCATTACTATTATTTTGATCCGCTGATTTTTGATATGCTTTATTTAAATCCTTTTCAATTCCCCATCCATTTTTATAACAATTTGCTAAATTGTATTGTGCAATGTGATATTCATTTTTTGCTGATTTTTGATACCAATAAAATGCTTTCTCTATATTCTTTTTAACTTCCATACCATTTTCATAAAAATATCCTAAACTATTTTGTGAATAACTATTATTTTGATCAGCTGATTTTGGTACCAATAAAATGCTTTCTCTAAATTCTTTTCATCTTCCATAACGTTTTCATAAAAATTTCCTAAATCATTTTGTGCATCACTATTATTTTGGTTAGCTGATTTTTGAAACCAATAAAATGCTTTTTCAAAATTCTTTTCAATTCCCCATCCATAATAATAACATCTGGCTAAATCATATTGCGCACTGATATTATTTTGATCAGCTAATTTTTGATAACAATCGAATGCCTTTTCTAAATTCTTTTCGATTCCCCTTCCATATTGGTAACGTTTAGCTAAATCATATTGTGCGACATTATTTTCTGTCATATTAAAATAAAATTTTAATTTGGCTTAAATTATGTAAAACATGCAGTTAATGTTCTAATGAGGTAACATACCATCTGTTGAAATGTATATATGTTAAACAAATTTAGAAATTTGTTTTAATTTAGATGATTAACATATAATTAATTACAGTTGCGGAATGAATAATTAATAAAATCGGATTATAGTAGATTATTGAAGAAACTACATAATAACTTACAAGTCGAGACATATAATGAATAAATAACTTACCATCTGTAATAACTTTGATTAAGATTAAATAAAAAATCAATTTAATGTAATAATAGCAAAATAATTAATTTTTAGCAGCGGTTATATCGCCCGCGGTGATAATAAAAAAAATAACTTACGCACTGCAAAGAAAATTTTTTTGAGTTTTATTACACATGCATGTAATTATACAGCTTACAATTTTCATTTTCCATGGTTATAATTTTTTGTGAAGAAAAAAATTATTTCAACCAATAATTAAATGATTTTCCTATTATTATTATGCACCTCAGCCATATACATAAGGGAGATCCTTAAAAGTAAATCATACGGTCACATTACGGATCATATGATTTACTATATCTCGTGACTTGATTTTCTTGCAACGTATCCATACGTAAAAACAATTTTATTGTAAATAATAAAATTAATGATTAAATATTAATAAGATCCATATGATCGTGATTTAATACTTGCATAATTCTTTATCTATTTAGACACGTTTTAAATGTATTGAAATTTTCTGGTGAGAAATAGTATTTAAAGATGTCAATTTATTCAATTTATTTCGTAAAAATTCGAGATATTTATTCTGATTCTTCACAAACTAATTAGTATTCTTGATTAAATTAATTTCATTTGAATTTAGAAATGTTGTCAGTTCAATATAGTAACATATCAAAAATACTTAGCTTGAGAATGATTCCAGGAATAATTTAAAAAAATGTTAATGTTAACACTATAAAATTTGTGAGTATGACAATTCTTTAGAAGTCGTGAGACAAAAAATACGAACTATTAAAAATAAAATTATTTCAATCTTTTATTTTTTTTTAGCATAAATGGCCAAAAAAAAACAAGTTGTCATGCTCAAAAATTATTAAAACTACATTTAGTCGACATTAAAATCGTGCCTCGGGCCTCCCAATTTCAAATTAAATTATCAAATACTATATTTAATGAAATTCATTATCGAATGTTTGTTTTTATTTTTTTTTGTCGTGGGCGAAAAAATATTTATTGCATCAGGTTTCTGTTAATTGTTGTGTAATGATGATCACCAAATTTAAGGTTTTCTTGAATGGTTGAATAATTTGTTGATTTATCAGCTTGTTAAGTGGTTAGAATTTCTTGTCTTGTTAGTGTAGTATAAACAATTTTAAATTGTTCTAATTAATAATAAAGTTAAGTTTTATTAATGAATTTACCTTTCATTAAGCGGTTCTTTTAAGAACAATGGGTGAAAGTGAGTTTAAATAATAAAGCTTTAATTATTTAAATTAAATTATAAATATTAGAATCATCGAGAATCAATTAATTCTAAGAAAGCTAGTACATCATCACGTCTAATAAATGAAATTCTATTTTTATTTAATGTAGAAACAAAAGAATCAAGCATTTGTAAATGATTGTTTGACTAATATTTTTGAAGAGATATTTCAAATATTAAATGTTAATGTTACAAGAAACTCTTAATTTTCGTTGGTATCAATTAAATTTTGTCATCATAAAGTACTCGAATCTAGCGATCGAGTCAAATAACAAATATTTAATAATAATAATTCTATGAATTTATTAATCATTTTATTAATCACGACGTTAAACTTAATAAAATATATATATTGAGAGCATTGAAGATGCCGGACAATTATATTACGACACGACAAATAATATAA